TCCTCTAAGTACTGGAGAGGCGTGAGCTGCTCCTCCTTGAAGAGGTCTGCGGCGTCTTCCTGGAGGAGGCGCAGCTGGGTCACAACATGGGCTTTGAACCTGAAATCGTATCGCTTGCGCTTCACAGCTCCACGAGTCTCCTTGACTTTGCGGTCCGTAAAGCCGTCGCTTTCCAAGTCGAGATCGCGGAAGCTTCCGTTGGAGGACGAACGAAGCCGCCCCCGTCGCACCATCGACCTTCATGTGCCAACAACGTCCAGGCCCGGCTTCTCCCCACGGCTGAACATACCTTTTGGGAGTCTTTCCTAGCATCCGCTGCAGCCACAAGCCGTTGGACATGTTTGCATTGCTGTGCTGTGTTTTCACGTGGATCCCAGGTCCTTGCTCGTTCACGAAGGTCATGGGACAGTGAGGGCACGGTATGGGCCGCTCCGGGGCCGGAGGTGGGAGGTTGATACCGGACACATGCTCTGTGACACCACCGCGAGTCCGCTCAATCTGCACGGCGCGGTAGGAGAAGGGCGAAATTGAGGTGCAGGTGATTCAACGAGCTGTGGACCTGAAATTGCGTGGATGTCGATGGCAAAATATATCTTATCTACATAGTCTACGTGTATGCAGATGGGGCAAGGGATGATTACATGACCGTCTCTCGTGTGTTTGTATCATGGTGCAGCAAATGTTTTTTTACAAAATACGGTTGGGACGGCGCTCGTGTACGCGTTCTTTTTCGCCGTTGTGTCTACTGTACCGTCCTTGCCTTACTCAAGAACTTGAGGCAAACGGAGAATGTTTGAAAAAGTTGTACACATACATGTACGCGCCATGCTGAAAGTCAGTCGTTTACACCAACATGTGACAGAGTAGTTTTTTTCTAGTCTTTTTCATTTCATCACCACCGCGTTTATTTGTAAACAACAGCAGCAGCAGTAGCACTCCTGCTGTATTTACACTACATACAGCTGCTGGACCGCCGTACGACTGCTGTATATATGTACATCATCACAGCAACAGAGTTCGTCAGATGACTGAACTCACCGGTTTTCCGCTGCCACGAACGAACGCGTTGATGATGTTGCCACCTAGAACACCTTGGCCAGCTCGATCCCTGGCTTGCTTCCCCCGATCTGCGACCTTTCTCTTCCCGGCAGCCGCAGCAGTAGCAGGCGGTGGGTGCGAAGACGGTGCACCTCGCGCGCCGCCCGCATCTTGTGGCGTTACACACGACGGACGGGTGCTGCTGGTAATACCCTGGGCCTCTCCATCAATCTGCGTGATCCACTCTTCTTCGTTGAAGACACCCGTCTGCTTCAGCCCCCATGCGTTCTCGATTGCGTCCCATCGCTCCTTCGCAACGGAGTTGCCCGCCTTCACATGTGCCTTTATCGTCTCGAAGTGACGGTCAAGAATCAGTCCTCGTTGTTTCAACTCCGAGAGTTTGCCAAGATCCTTCAACAACCCATGGGATAAGGGGTTGGACAGGGACATGATCCCCCTGCACGGCAGGCAACTCGTGGCACGCTGCACCACGTTGCGTGGTAAATTAAAAAAACTCGCTGGCACAAGGGCACGACGTGTATGTACAGCAGACCCACCTCAAAAAAAAATCAACAAGGGATGGTCCAGGTAGGTACCAACTACCAAACCTGGGAACGCCTCCCCCTCCCCCTCCTCCTCCATCTGTGTATGTTCTCTTGCCACCGCCGCGTCATGTAGTATGATCTTATCTGTAGCACCAGTCGCACACCTCACTGGAGGTTCTTATTCTTCACAGCAGGTTCGATCTGAGCACGTGTTCTTACGGGCAAATTCTTAAAAATTGGATTTTTT